GAGTTTGGAGAAGACTAGCTGTCCATTGATCTCAATCTCAAAACTGCCTGCAGAAAAAAAGGTAAAAAAGGAACTTGGAATCAGAGAATAAAATACAGACGCTCCTCTACTTACGAACTTCCAACTTACGAACTTTCAGACATACGAACGAAGAGGACTGTAAGTCCAAATTGTGTTCATTGGGCTCCCGTTTCCTGTTCGCAACATAAATTTTTCTGCGCGCCAATTCCGCCCAGTACGACTTCTGGCCGCTACTCCCGCCGCGCAGCAGTGTAGCATGCGTACTCCCAGCATCGAAGTTCTTTGTACTTGCGTATGATGTTGAATAACGACTTACGAACATTTCAACTTACTAACGGCCGTTCGGAACGTAACTCGTTCGTAAGTAGAGGAGCGTCTGTATACCTAAGATCTGTTTCTGGCAAATCAATTGAGCAATTAGTGCACAGCACGTCTAATCTCAGCGTTTGGTTAATTGCAGTGAATACAAAACGTGTACACACGCTGTTAAAATGCCAGGTTTTTGTGATGTAAAGAAATGAGACCAAGATAAATAATTTCACACCTTTAATGTGACCTATAACCTGTACAATTCAATTGAAAAACAAATAAACAATCTGTTGGGGAAAAAATTTCAAACACGTACAATAAGCTGGTTGCATAAGTGTGCACACCCGTAAACCAATACTTTGTTTAAGCATCTTCTTTTGATTTAATTACAGCATTCAGTTGTTTTGGGGACACACCTGCCAACAATTAAAGTGACTGATTAACAGATTGACAAAGCTCAGCTGTCCTAGTAGGATTTTCCTGACATTTACTCAGTTACATCCTACAATAAAAGCCATGGTTGGCAGAGAGCTTACAAAGCATCAATGGGATCTCATTGCTGAAAGGTATCAGTCAGGAGAAGAGAATCATCAAGAAGTGGAGAAAATATGCGAGAACAGTGATGTTAGCGGGAATGAGACGTCCCTCCAAAGCTGAGGAAAACATCTGGCCATGGAGGGTGCCAGAAGGTCTACAGCAATGCTGAAGGAGCTGCAGGAATTCTGGTCGTATGCTACATGTGACAATGATCTCCCATATTCTCCATATGGGGTCGCAAGATGGAAGCCTTTTCACCAAAAGACCATCACACCCACGGTGAAGCACGTGAGGGCAGCATCACGCTCTGGGGCTGTTTTCCTTCAGCTGGAACTGGGGCTTAGTCAATGTGGGGGGAATTACGAACAGTTCCAAATACCAGTCACTTTTGGCCCAAAATCTTACGGTGTCTGCTAGAAAGCTGAAGATGAAGAGGAATTTCTCCTTCCAGCTTGACGATGACCCCAAGCATACATCCAAATCAACAAATGGCTTCACCAGAAGAAAATGAAAGCTTTGGAATGGCCCAGCCAGAGCCCAGACCTAAATCCAACTTACAATCTGCGGAACCACCTGAAGGGGGCAGTGCACAGGAGACGCCCTCGCGATCTGACAGATCCGGAGCTCTTTTGCAAGGAAGAGCGGGCAAACATAGCCAAGTCAAGATGTGGCATGATGGACTCCTACCCAAAAAGACTGAATGTTGTAATCAAATCAATAGCTGCTTCAACAGTTTTAGTTTAAGGGTGTGCACACTTATGCAATCAGCTTATTATATATTTTGTATTTTTTATATTTTTCCTCCAACAGACTTGTTTGTTTTTCAATCGAATTGTACAGGTTATAGGTCACATTAAAGGTGGGAATTTTGTTTTTTTAATGATTTATCTTGGTCACATCACAAAAACCTGTCATTTTAACTGGGGTGTGTACATTTTTTATGTCCGCTGTATACGGGCCGGGCCCCTTCCACCGCAGCCACACAGGATTGTATAAGCGCTTCCAAGAAATTGTGTCATAAATGACCAAACAGCTGAAAAGCACCAGACAAATGATTAAACTCACGTTTCCTTACGCTTGTCTCCCACCCTTCCGTCCTTACCTTTCCTCCCGGGGGAGCCCGACATCTTCGCATCGTGGAACTTCGCCCATACGGTTCGGGCGAGCTCCTCAAACTGGAAGTTACGCTTTCATTTTCCTCTAAGAGCGAGGAGCAAGGCGCCGGAGGAGAACGGGATGGGCAAGGAAGACGGAGAAAGCGCTCTTTGTTATTTAGTACTGGCTTTAACAAGAAGGACGTTTTAGTGCATGCAAGCCATACCTTCTCGTTATGCAAAAAGAATCAAAAGGTCGATCCTTAGTTTTGTTAGAATAAACTTAACACTAAATCCGCGAATCGTTTAATATGTAGTAACAGTGTAATATAGGTTAATTGATAATATCATAAGCAATAATGAGAAACATTATACAACTGTGAAGTTTTCGTGCTGTGATTATTCAATAACATAATTTAATAGGCTACTTAAACTTTTAAGCAAACACACACGTCTACCAGTATTAATATACAGCGGAAGATTCAACTTACCAAAACTCAACTTTGATTATTACAGTCATCTTTCTTTAGCTAGATCTGCGTTTGCTGACCTCCTCACACCACAGACTAAGCAGAAAATATGATCATGACATACGTACCCTACGGTTCACCCAGTTATACTGCTTTTGGTTGGCAAGACAACAGCATGTAAACTACAATAGCCGCAGATTTGTCTACCTCACACGTCATATAGTGGACCCAAATATTATTTGTACACTGTGAAAGAATGCTCCAAATGGAAATGAAATTGAGAATACTGAAGAACAAACTTTAAAAACTGTCTAAAATGTTACAGTTATGTGTGTTTTAGGTAAAGAAACAACAAAATAAAATTATGCAAAATATATTCTGAAATCATTTTGTGATTATGTAATTTGTTGCCTTCAAAGAATTATTTGTACCCCTGGCCGTTCATAGAGTTGGACAAATATGTGACAACGGGAGGAGTTCCCAGTCATAATAGACATCATTTAACGCGACAGATAACAGCAGGTGTCCCAGATAGGCAGGTAATTGGGGGCCCTTAGTTTCTACAAGTAGACTTGGTGGTCATTCTCCATACAGGTATCTGTAGGGTTGGTTCAGTTTCCTAACATGGCTAAAGCTGCTGAAATACCCAATGCATTGAGGGGAAAGAGTCATAAAAAGTCACCATTGGGTCATAAAAAGTCATCGCCAGAGTCTGTCTGTTTGAAAAATTGCCAGCAGACTTGACATGATGCACACTACTGTGCACTACATCATCCAGAAATTCAAGAAGACTGGTGAGATGGTTATTCTGGAGGGAAGAGGGAGAAGAAGAAAGACCTACAGTCGAAGGACAGACGGGTACATCAAATAGCAAAGCAAGGCAAGGAGGCCACTGGCATTCAGGTTTGCACACAAACAATAAGGAACAAGCTGAATGTAGGCTGCTGAATGTGAGAGTCCATTTATATGCGAAAACAACAAACTGAAACATCTCAAATTTGCCAAAGAACGTGTTGACAAGCCTTCATCCAGCCGTCTGGAAATCTATTGTATGGGCTGATGAATCCGAATTCAACGTGTTTGGATCAGATAGTCGTCAGAGAACGTGGCACAGCTCAGAGGAGTACAGTCCCCCAGCGCCTGGATCCGGCTATCAAGCGTGGTGGTTTGTGGTCACATGGCAGCTCGTGGTGTCGGCAGTCTGCATTTTTTTGAAGGCAACATAAATTCTGAGGTGTATGAGGATCTCCTGTCTGCTGCCAAACTGCTTGGGTGTCGCTACGCTTTCCAGCAAGATAACGACCCCAAGCAGACTGCATAGCGAAAGCCTTTCTCGCCAAGAAGGTGAAAGTGCTTTAGTGCGGCTCCCCCCCTCCCCCCACAAAGTCCAGATCTCAATCCTGTTGAGCACCTCTGGGCTGAGATGGAGAAGAAATGCCCAACAGACCCATCAAGCAACAAACAGAACTTGAAAGACATGCTTCACCACGTATGGGAGAGCCCTGACCCAGTCGCATTTGCAGAATGGGAGAGCCCTGACCCAGTCGCATTTGCAGAATGGGAGAGCCCTGACCCAGTCCCATTTGCGGAATGGGAGAGCCCTGACCCAGTCGCATATGCAGAATGGGAGAGCCCTGACCCAGTCGCATTTGCAGAATGGGAGAGCCCTGACCCAGTCACATTTGCAGAATGGGAGAGCCCTGACCCAGTCGCATTTGCAGAATCTCGCTCCCCAGGAGACATAACAGACATAACTGTAACATTTAAAATATTCTAGGCCTTCGCACCCTGGCTGATCCCCCTAGAATGCCCATTTCTCTGACCGACAGTGGTACTGGCCCGGCACCAGAGAAGAACCTGCAGCCGCTCCCCGATCGGCCACTGTATCCATTCCGGACTGCAACGGAGTGGAGAACGCGGAGAACGGCTCTCACGTTCTCCCCAGGGTTCTGCAGGAGCTCCTCGGAGATCCCCGCCTTCAAGAGTCACAAGAGCCGGTCACCCTACTGCACCAGATGGGGGCACTGAGGACGATCTCCTCAGCCCCCATTTCTCCGGTGATATGGGGGGGCGGGGCTGTGCTTGCCTTGCTGAGTAAAAGGGACGACTTAACTCTCCAGCCCACAGCCAATCGAGGAGCTGCCGCTTTAGTTCCCCCCTTCCAGCGCTGCCTGCCTGCCCCCCCCGCCTGCCTGCCCTCCTGCCAAGCTCACCATGCCCAGATCCCCGTTCAGACATTGTAACCTGTCAGCATTTGTGAACCCATCCTGTTTATCTTAATAAACACCCGCTATGTGGGTTTTGTATGAACACCTGCACTGGGATCATGCCTCGTTTGACAATGTAACAAAGAGAAATAACCTGTAATCATGTACAATTTGTACACACTCTCACATAATTCTTGTTGGTTTTATTTTAGTGGGAGGAGTTATCACAAACTAGACATAAATCCACCAAGATTGCTAAACAGATTATTGTTTTGAATTTGTCATACTTCCTGCACTCATAACAGGCCTTGCATTGTAATGTAATTAAACAGAATATAGGCCTACTGTATTTATTCCAGGGGGAAATTCTTTGTCAGTAAGATAAATATTGTCTTGTTTGTTGTGAAACCCTCTATGTCGGACAAAATTCGTTTAGCTACCAAATATTTAAGGTACTTTTCTTATTTAAAATAAATAAATAAATAAATAAACTCTGCGGCCACAAGGGGGCAGCAACTACCCACGTCAAACCCGATCCGCTAACGCTAAAACCCGAAATTAAATGTGAATATAAACATTTGTCTGTGGGATATTAGATACTCTCACTTACTAAAGAGCTACTTCATGCCAATGCCATCGTTTAATACGGTGTTTATTATAAAAGAGTGATGACTGCATGTGCGTATAATAGCCGCCTAACAACTAAGATTAAAACCTGATTTGCGGCTTTGTAACGGATAGGATATGAACTGTATTGTAGGAAGGTATTTGGTGCGGATGCATTATGTTTGTATATAAGCAGAAGAGCTTAAAGGCATGCCAATTGCCGTTGTTCCACCCACGCTAGCGTTCCTTGTTATTATGCCTACTGTCATGTTATCAAATTCGGGTAATCAATGCAGAGACCGTGCAGAGTATCATAGCACTCTGAGGTTGTAATTTGTGTCATCGCAATTCAAAGAAAAAAAAACATACAAACAAATAAATACATAATCCTCTTTGCCAATAATCCATCGGAACACATCCATGCATACAAAGCGCCACCCTGACAGCATTAAGACTCAGCAGTTTTCTGCCCTACTTGTACATGCAGGGACGCTTCTCCATTATAGTTACTATTGCTGCAAGCTATAGTAAAAAATTAGGCTATTGACCAACGTCGCTACAAGCTAAATGGCTCCATTAGGTCAATATTGTATCAGCGACGCCTAACTGGAGGCTTGGTATGGGGCGGGCGGGCAGTTGCTTTATCAGGAGCACAGTTATTCAGTCCTTAAGTTAACTCCAGCCCAGATCCTGATTAATGAGGCGTAATTCATTTGTTCACTGCATTCTCACAATAATTTCTTAAAGTCTTGATATTTTTTTATTTATTTTTTTTAAGGACAACGAGTTTATTAGTGTCCAAAAGAGTTTTGTTTGTCTTCTGTAATGTATTTAACTGTTTATGTTATTTAATAGCTGATAACTCCTCAGCCAATTTAACAAACAAATGGCTGATTCACTTGGATTAAACCGAATAATATTTTGTGTTGCTGCTCGGGTCACGCTGAGACTCCAGTAACGCATTTTACCTTCTGTTTGTACAAAAGTACCTTCGACGCTCATTAACGGAGCTGCTGCTTTAAACTATTTTCAGATGCGGCATCCGGATTGTCGTTTCACAACAAGTCAATCAAACGTCATTAATTAGGGGTCTGTTTGGACCAACAATCAGGACTCATGCTGGCTTCGGGATGGGGAGGGGGCTGGGATGGAGGAAAAGAGTGAAAGTGACTGAAACTGCAGTCTGTAGTGGGGTGGGGGGAGCCGCGGCGCTACCCACGGTGATTCACCGCCATGCAGCAGTATAAAACTAATGTGAAATGCACATTAAGAGACAGGGAGTCTAACTCGAGACACTGATTCATCGTAGTAGCTTAGTCATCGGGATGGTGCGGCCTGTTAGAAGCGCCGGGATGTTGGGGGCGATTTTGACGAATAGCCTCGGTCCCTTTTGTGCCCCCCTCGCGTGCGTACGCCTTTCATGTGGCAGGATGTGTAACATGACATCACAGTCACTTTGGCACATGTCACCGTGGTCACTCACGTGTCGTCATTCCGCGCGGCTGACGGCCACTCACAGGAGTATCGCCCGACGAAACGTAATAAACATATGTACTGCTGGGACGAAATGTTTAATATCACCACAGTGTGGCGCTGCTACTGCAAAAAAAAAAAAACATCGACAGTGGATTTCTCTTTATTTTAAGATGTGTTTTAAAAGGTTTCCTAAGCGATATTATACGTAAGATACTGCGTTTATTTTTTTAAGGAGCATTTGCGTGCATCTGGGGGTGTCACTGAAACCAGCCGATGCTGGAAAACAAACCAGGACCTAAAAGCGTCGGAGAGGAAGCCCCACATTACCGGTAGAGTGCGGCCAGGCTTTCGAGAAAATGGGCCGGGGGGGCGCAAATGAAAGGCGCGAGGGGTGTCTGTGGGTGGCTGATGGACGGAGAGGTGGCTGGAAGCTCAGGTGGAGGCGGTATAATAGGGGGGGGTGCATGTTCCCCAGTGCCTAATGCAGTGCCCCCTGACCCCACCGATAAATGCATGCTTGATTTGACCTTTAATGTATCCAGATCAATGTGACCCGCTTTTCAGTCTGCTATACAAGCATTGCCCCCCCCCCCCTTTCCTGAGACCAGTGACAGGAAGTGCGGGGGGGATGGGGACCAATCAATGCATTTCCATGGACCGTAACACAGCATGTCCCTTGTCCGGTCAGAACCCGCTGAGAAGCTATGGCATGAGAATGCACAGGACAGGTCAGGCAGCCATTTCTATATCCGGCAAGAGCCACTTCTCTAGTTCCAGAGTTTCTTGGCGGTATTTCACGTCGTCACGAAGCGGTACGTTTCTGCTTCGATGCGTTCACTGTACACTGCATAATTAAAAGAAAGTTTTAGTGGATTTTAGGTAGAATGTCAGGGTAGGAGAATATAAACTTAATGGATTTTGGTGTCGCTTTACTTAACAACAAATTCATAAAAATAATAATGCATTCATAAAGCATTATAAACATGGCTATAAATGTTTATAAAAAGGCATACCACATTATAGCCATGTTTATTATGCATTATGACTGTCTTATGAAGCTCTGACCTATGATGCACTATAGATA